TCGGAAACCCTGTACAGGGTCGCTATGGGTCGGAACCGACTCGACGGCACTTAACAACAACAACAACATACTAAATTAATGATTTTGCATATTATAATATTTTTTGCATATTAAATTAGTATGTAGAAACTCCAAAATTGGCATTTTAACAATTTATTTGTACTAGTATGTCTTACAAGTAGCTCTGGTAGCTTAGTGGTTCTAAATCGGGCAGGCTGCTAATCTCACAGTCAGCAGTTTGAAACTACCAACAGTTCCGCAGAAGAAAGATTTGAGACTTTCTGCTCCCATAAAGATTTATAGCCTTGGGAACCCTTTACATGGTTGCTATTTCACTCCATGAAAGTTTTCACTCCATGAAAAATAACCACCACATACTAAATTATTTTTACATTGCACAAAAGAAAATGTGTCTGACTCAAGCAAACCTAGACTAGGTTTATCCTACTTCTTCATGTTTTTCCTGAAGTATCCACTTGACATGCACTTCTTTGATAACACAGCACCCCAACCTTAAGGTTATTTATAATGGCATATTATTTAATCAACAAGTAATTTGCTTTACCAATAAACATAGTAAAAGATACATACTTGTCCTATTAAAAGACCAGACACAAAAGCCTTTCCTTGGAGATTGATGTTTGAAAGGTATTGGCCAACAGCCTCTTCTACAATGTAGGTTCTTCCCATTATTGAGAGCTAACTCAAGTTCCTAAATTATAAGAAAAAAAGAAAGAAAGGCATTTTTAGGTAAAAATACAATTTGCTTAAAAAAAAAAATTATATATATATATATACACACATAAAAAATGGGGTTAGTGTACTGCCAGAAGTGACATACTGTGGTTGTAACCCCCATGCCTAGCAGTGAATAGTTATTAAATAGTGAATTCTTTCTTGCACAGCTTAAATGTAGCTTCAGAATTCTCAACAGTGCAGCAGGAAACAAATGTCAATCAATCAGAGTTGGAACGAGGGATCAAACTTATTTTCCATACCTGGGGTAAGATTGCCGTTGTTGTTGTCAGATGCTGTCAAGTCAGCTCTGGCATAAAGCAACCCTATGAACAGAATGAAACACTGTCCAATCCTGCACCACCCCATAATCGTTACACTTGAGCCCATTGCTGTTATCACTGTGCCAATCCATGCTGTTGAGGGTCTTCCTTTTTTTCACTGCTCCTCCATGATGTTACACTCCAGGAACTGGTTCCTCCAGATTACAGGTCTGAAGTAAGGGAGATGAAGTCATTCTTGTTTCTAAGGAATATTCTGGCTATAGTTCTTCCAACACAAATTTGTTTGTTCTTTGGGCAGGCCATGGTACTTCTCTATTCAATGCATCAAGTTCTTTTACTGTCTTCCTTAGTCACTGTCCAGCTTTCACATGCATATGAGACAATTGAAAATTCCATGGCTTAGGTCTGGTACGTCTTAGACCTCAAATGGATATCTTTGTTCTTGAACACTTTAAAGAGGTCTTCTGCAGCAGCTTTGCCTAATGCAATATATTGAATGATTTCTTGACTGCTGTTTCCATGAATGTTGATTGAGGATCCAAACAAATTAAATCTTTGACAACTTTAATCTTTTCTCTGTTCACCATGATGTTATTTACTGGTCCAGTTGTGACTTTGAATTGAGGTTCAATCCAGTTTTGTTTTCTTTGCATTGAGGTGCAATCCATACTGAAGACTGTGGTGTTAGATATTCATCAGTATTTTAAGTCCTCTTCACTCCAATAAGCAAAGTTATGTTATCTGTATACCACAGGTTGTTGATGACTCTTCCTTCAATCCTGATACCACATTCTTCTTCAATACAATTTAGCTTCTCAGATTATTTGCTCAGTATACAGACTGAATAAGTATGGTGAAAGAATACAACGCTAGCACACAACTTTCCAGATTTTTAAACCATTCAGTATCCCCTTGTTCTGTTTGAGTAAATGCCTCTTGGTCTATGTACAGGTTCCTCACAAATACAATTAAGTGTTCTTGAATACCCATTCTCTGCAATGCTATCCATAGCCTGTCATGATTATCACAGTTAAAAGACTATGCATAAAAGGCCATAGGTCGAATCCCCATCCAGAATCTTCTGAGGTGGGTAATTTCCTCTTGAGAGGACAAGCAGATCAGTCTGGAGCAGCTAGAAGAAACGAAGATACTTCTTGAAAGAAAGACGAGCAGGACAAACCAAAACAGTAACAGCAGTCTGATTGACTACCACAAGAACAAGCAAGTTGTTCACCCAGGAGCCATCAAGGCAAGTGGTCGGGTGCCCTCAGGGCAATCCAATTCTTATCTTACAACACCACACAGAACTGATTTTCAACCGTTTTATATACATCTGAAAACTGGACAATGAATTAGGAACACTTAGAAGAACAGATGTATTTGAGTAACTGTTAGGAAAGACACACAAATCTGTCTTAGAAGTACAGCCAACCAGAACACTCCTTGGAAGAGAGGATGATGAGATTCCCTCTTATGCTTTGGACATGTTGTCAGGAAGGATCAGCCCCCTGAGAAGGACATCATTCTTGGTAAAGTGGAAGGCCAATGAAAAAGAGTAAGACCACCAACGATATAGAATGATGCAGTGGCAATAACAATGGGATCAAACATAACAATTATGAGGCTGGTGCAGGTAGTGGTTTCTTTGGTTGTGCATAGGGTCATTATGAGTCAAAACTGATTTGATGGCACATAACAACAATTTCTTAGTTGTGTGATCTTTCATAAGCTATTACTGTGTCTCATTGTTCTCATTTATAAAAATAGGAAAGATGATAACTTCTGTGAAACTATTAAACTTGAAGGCATCAAGAATCATTTACCCAATAAGCATTTATTAAAGAATTACTATATGCTAGAAATTGCGTCAGGAAAAATGGTTTGAGAGATGAACAACCCTCGGTCACTGGCCTTGAGTAACTCACAGTACAGTGAGAGTTACATAAGTAGATAAATTGCAATACAATAACACTGAAAATAGCTTCTACTTTGTACAAAGCCCTTTTCTAAGTGTTTTACAAGTGGTAACTTACTTAACTTTCCCAAAGTACCATGAAGTAGTTATAACATTATTACCTCATTTTCTGGAAGAAAAAGGGATTAAGTAACTTGTATAAGTGACAGCTGTAAAAGTGACAAAGGTGGGATTTAAACTCCTGCAGTTGGACTCCAGAACTCATGCTCTTAAATACTATGCACATACTGAGGAATCACATGTTGTCCCCCAGTTTACCACAAAGAGTAGCTCTAGTACATTCACCTTACTAGTTTAAGGTCCTGTAACTTGAGTTTCTGTAGCTTAAAATCAAAGATGCTGACTAAAAGAGCTAGATGATTATGAGCAATTCTCTCAAGGAGTTCACATTCAGTGTGGGAGCAAAAACAGATATCTTTTTAAAACGCTATAAAATAGCAGACTACGGGAACATATGTGCAGTATTCCAAATAATGTGTTTAGATGTAATTTCCCAAGAGATAAATCACTTAAGGCTCTGTAAATATAAATTGGAATCTTATTCAGTACCACAAAGACAAGTTTATTGTCAATGTTGTATGGTAAACTGCCAGTCACAGGTAGTTTGTATCACTCTAAAACTAAAAATCCCACAAGATTAGTTCAAATTTCAAATGGCACAGTGGACACTGTTTTCTCAAAGAGCCTGTTCAGTTGTGTCTCAAAATACATCAAACTTTCCCTATGTCTTTTCTGACAACTATATAAATAAAACAGGTTTGTATTCCATTAAAAAAAAAAAAAAACTTAGAACGCCTGTGTCATGTCATTAAAGCCTCAACACAATTAAGGCCTTTACACATTAAGCAGTGACTTATGACATATTGCTGTGTATTAATTTTCCTCTATTTCATAAGAAGCCCTCATAAGGAGTCCTAGTAGCATTGCGGATAATGAGCTGGACTGCTAACCACAGGGTCAGCAGTTCAAATTTACCAGCTGTTCCGTGAGAGAAAGATGGAGCATTCATTTACAGCCTTGGGAACCCTATACAGTGTTGTCGTCAACTCAGTGGCACACAACCACCACAGTCATTTCATCATGCTATTTGACTCCTTCAAAAGCTAGCCCTACTAGCTTCACATTTTGATATTTTTATTTAATACAGGTTTCTATGATTTTGTAACAGTACTTAACTTACTTTCATATAAAATCATCATTAAGGTCCTCATTGACTTTTAGAATAAGCACTGAACTGAAAGTTATAGCAATGTGATCAGTGCATAGTTACAGACAAGTTCCTTCAGTAATACACTTAGTTTCATTAGGTTGCTTTCCAAAACCAGTTCCAATCAAAACAGTGGCTTTGGAGGGGATCTGATAGGCCAGTTAAATTGAAGTCAGAAAGATTACCTCAGAATACTAGGGTGACTGCTTTGAGAGATTCCAAGAGGGCAATCTTGGCAGATTTTCTCAAAGGACACAAGATGATCACAGGGACTTACTATATAAAGTTGTTGTTAAGTGCTATCCAGTCACTTATGATGTATAGCAATCCTATATAGGGTTTCCAAGGAGTGGCTAGTGGGTTTGAACTGCCAACCTTGCAGTTAGTAGTTCAGAACTTATCCAACAGCACCATAGCAAGACTCTTATTATGCAAAAGTTTTAAGAAAATTTCATTGGTGAGAAAAAGGCTAGGAAATCTGAAATAAGGAGTTTTTCCATCGTGACAATGCACCTGTTTATTCTTTGAGTTGTCCTACAAGAATTTCACTGGAAGATCATACTCTATCCACACTACAGCCCTGATTTTGTCCTTTCAAACTTCTGTTCCCCAAACTCAAAGAACCATGAAAAGGGACATGATTTGAGTCCTATGAGGATGCCAAACTACTATTTTGACATACTGCAAGTTGAAGAGCACAGAATTCCTCAGGAAAGGATTAGTAGAGAGATGGAAACACTGCTTTCAAAAGAGGATGTATTGAGAAACAATAGTTTCACATTTTGATATTTTTGTTTAATAAAGGTTTCTATGATTTTATAGCAATACTTTCACTTATTTTCATATAAAACCAACATTAAGCTCCTCATTGACTTATAAGACAACTATAGTACCGCTAACTGAGAGGTCGGCAGTTCAAACCCATCAGCTGCTGTCGGAAAACAGATACAGGGATGCTATGAGTTGGAACTGACTCAACTTAACAAAATACAACTAAGAAGCTTCCGTTTGTATTTCTTACATGTCTTCACAACTAATTTAATGATTTAAAAAAAAATAATAAATAAATACACCTTTATGTGAGAAAGTCACCAACTGACCAAAATCCTATGACTGTGGAACATGCAAGAAAGACAACATAAGGAACACTTAGTTTCGATAAAGAATTGAAAAAAAAAAACTTCCAGAAGTGTAATCAAACATGAAAGAATCTACACATTTAGCTTAAAAGTTAAGGAATCATGATTTGGAAACAAAGTAGTTAGAGCTGTCATGGTGGTAGGGTGATAAATAAATAGTTTTTAAGAACGCGTTAGAAAACATCTGGTAACCAAGTTTTGACAGTTCATTTCCATTTCAAAAATATAAATATACTGGCTTGTTTGGAATCGAATCGGTTCCAACTCATACAGCCTCTGGATAGGAGGGATTCAAACTATTGACCTTGCGATTAGCAGCTCAGCGAATAACCCGCAATTTACTAAGCCAT